AAGAAAGAAAGAAAGAAAGAAAGAAAGAAAGAAAGAAAGAAAGAAAGGTAGGTAGGTTCTGGAAGATCCTTGAAGGCAGAGGCTGTCCTTGGTGCTGCCGTTCCCCAGCAACCAGAAGAGGTGTCTAAATGTAGATAGCAGACCAGTTATCAGTTACATTCAGGAAGAATGTGACCTCCCAGCCTCTCCTACCTAAGAACGTGGGCAGAAGGGGGCTAAGATTGGATGATGACCACAGCACCATCACATACCAAAGTTCTCCCCCAAGTCAGCCTTTAACCACAGTGTAGGGTTGAGGTTTGGGCTTCGGAGTTGAACCACCAAAGTTCCAGAACCAGGTCTCCCCCTCCGTAATCATTCTGAGCCTCGATCTGTAGAATCTGTAGAATGGGAGCTATAGTGCTTACCCTGTAGGGTGTTGAGAAGAGGAAATGAGCAAAGGTACATAAAATACTCAGCTCTGTGCCAAGCTCAGATCCAGGGATTAAAAAGGAGACAATAATTTTTTACCAATATATTTCTATGGTAATTAAAACCATGAGCTATTTGTTCTGTGATATAACGACCAAGGGAACAGAACTTAGAAAGCCCAGAAATACATCTGCTAGCATAGAGGGACTTAATAGATGCCAGAGGTGGCATTTCAGATCGCAGGAAAGGATGGATCAGTCGGTTAATTATATTGACTATCCATTCGGAGGCAGATGAAATTATCAGGCATCTCATGCCATATGCAAAATGAATTGCAGACTAATGATAGAAAACAAAAACTTCAAACTCATTTGGAGAATACAGAGAAGACTCTATTGACATCTGGATGAGAAATGATATTATTTTTTTTTCCAATGTTTATTCATTTTTGAAAGAGAGAGACAGAGTAGAGTGTGAGCAGGGGAGGGGCAGAGAGAGAGGGAGACCCAGAATCCGAAGCAGGCTCCAGGGTCTGAGCCGTCAGCACAGAGCCCGACTCAGGGCTCGAACTCACAGACCGTGAGATAGTGACCTGAGCTGAAGTTGGCCACTTAACCAATTGAACCACCCAGGCACCCCAAGGAAGGATTTCTTAAACATTACCAAAAGTACAAACTAGAAAGGAATAGTCAAATAAAGGGTGTGCAAAACAAAACAGCACACATAAAGTAACAGGGTAAATTGCAGACTGCGGGCTGTGATGTTTATAGTGCATGTAACTGACAATGCATAATTATCCAGAAGATGTCAGAAATAAAGCTTACCCATCGCTAGGAAAAAAATATAAAACCCAACAGAAAAATAAGCAAAGAAATTGCAATAGCCAAATCACATAAGACGGTGACCAAATAGGCACATGAGATGTTCTCAACCCCACTGGGAATCAGGAAATAAGGCCCTGAGTACACCAAGCACGGCTGATGACATGGAAAAACTGGAATTCTCAGGACTTCTGTCCAGAGAGCAAACTGGTACCACCCAGAGAGTAATAAACCTGAATACCTCCTGAGGAGGTCCACGTGCATTTCCCATGCCCTGTGATCCCTCTGGGCAAATGCCCTAGACTCTCTGGCACGGGCACATGGAGACCTACCCAAGAGTGCTCGCTGTCACCGCACTGGTGACAGCAGGAAACTGGAGACAACTCAAATGTCCCTCAGTAGGGACTACATGGGTGAAGGATGGCACGTCCATCTAATGGGGTATTCTACAGAAGTTCCAAGGAAGGAGCTGGACTTAGGTATATGGACACGAATATCTCAAAAATCAAGCTGAATGCAAAGAGCAAGGTGCAGGAAGATATGTACAGTATGAAATCATTTCTGTGACTCACAAAAATAAAAATCAATTACAATGCTGTATGAATGTGTCAGAAAGAAAGGGGTGGCAGGGAAGGGTCACACCAATTTATCTGCAGGACAGGGTATGCTTCTTAAAAGCACAGGGTGTAAAGGAGACAAACTCTATCTGTAAACTTTTCTTTCTCAAGAAAGCTGTGGTTGTATTTTACTGTGTACTTTTACAAAGTGATAAGGAGGGTGTGAAAAGCTCATTAAAATGCTTAAAGAATATTTTTCAAAAGCAAGGCTGTTTAGGGGCACCTGGGTGGCTCAGTAGATTAAGTGGCCAACCCGTGATTTTGGCTCAGGTCATGATCTCATGGTTCATGGGATCAAGCCCCATATCAGGTTCTGCATTAACAACATGGAGCCTGCTTGTGATTCTCTCTCCCCCTCTCTCTCTGCCCCTCCCCTGCCCATAGGAGGGCTCTCTCACACTCTCTCAAAATAAATAAATAAATATATTTTCTTAAAAAGCAAGTCTCTTTGGGGGCGCCTGGGTGGCTCAGCTGGTTGGGCATCCGACTTCAGCTCAGGTCATGATCTCACGGCTCGTGAGTTCAAGCCCTGCATCGGGCTCAGAGCCTGGAGCCTGCTTTGGATTCTGTTTCTCCCTCTCCCTCTGCCCCTCCCTGCTCTGTCTCTCAAAAATGAATAAACGTTAAAAAAAATTTTTTTTTTGAGCAAGCCTCTTTAATCTGAAAAAGAGAAAACTCAGAGTTGAAGGTGTTCCGATGTGAAAGTGTTGACTAGACTTTTAGGGCCTTAAAAATAGGAACATGAACAACTGTGTTTCTGACGCCTGGCAGAGAGCCGACTCAAGCAGCCACTTCTTCCCCCAGCTTCAGAGTGTTGAATGCGAACCAGGAAAAGCAGATTAATTGATAGAGAGTTAAGGAAATGATCTGTAGCAGTTACAGCTGAACAAACAGGAAGTAGGCCATCCCAGAAGTAGCAAGTGCATCAGTTCTAGAATATCCCACCTCATACTGGAAACCCAACTGCTTACTGAAAAACTGGTGAGGAGAACAAGGTCAAGAATGAACAGGTCCACTTAGTGGCTTCTAACAACACTTTGCCTCTTGTCTGTCACTAAGATTACAAGCAGCTGCATGAGCAGTTCCTGTAACCTAGAATGCTATTTCCCTTATTCCACCATAAGAAGCAAATAACTTATCCTCCAAGATTATTTCCATAACCCCAACTCTTTTGTGCTTCCCCAACATGCCTACCTACCCTACCACAGCATCTATCACATAGGACTATCATTATTTATTAGAAAGTCTCCATCAACATTAGAGATTTTCATGCTTCCTATGTTCATGACAGCATGAGTCAGGAGAACAGAAACATTGGTGGAGTGGAAGGGGGATGCAGTGTGGATGGGTGGGATCACGCAGGTAACTGAATGGGATGAGGTCGGTTGGAATGGATGGATGGGGTGGTAGGGATGGCTGGTTGAGGTGAGAAAGAATGGGGTAAGTTGAATGTGTATGTAGTATTCTTTTACTTTTGAGTAACATTTGGTCAGATTTCAAAGAATCTTTCTGAAGTATTCTGAATTTAAAATATTTCATAATCCCAGGTGCCTGGTTGGCTCAGTCAGTTGAGCATCCGACTCTTGATTTTGGCTCAGGTCATGATCCCAGGGTCGTGGGATCGAGCCCCATGTTGGGCTCCATACAGGGCATGAAGCCTGCTTAAGATTTTCTCTCTCTCCCTCTCCTTCTGCCCCTCCCCCCACTCGTGTGCACTCACTCTCTAAAATATATAAAAAAAAGAAATATTTCATAATTCTTCCAAGTCTAGTTATGTTATAAAATTCCAAAATCCCATCCTAACTTACTTTGAAATTTTTGCTTTTCTACTATGTTTGTTAAACTGCTAAATGATCTCTCCATTAATTCCTTCATCTCCATCCCAGCTGCTGTCTCCAAATAAACAGTTGGTTCTCTTGAAGTACTCCATCTAGAAAATTCACAAAGAGAAAAATAAATGAAGGTGAAAAAAAATCAGGGACCAGACCTAAGAATCTATTTACTGGACCAAATGTGAGCAGATTTTTTTAAATGACACTGTATTTCTCTAACCAATGCTTCATAAATTTCATTGTGCATATGAATCACCTGAAAATGCTGTTAAATAAAAGTCAGGTTAGGGTTCAGTAAGCCTGGAGTGGACCTGACATTCTACATTTTTAACAGGTTCCCAGGAATGCTGATGCTGTTGCTCTGCAGACCACACTTGTACTATCAATTTCTAACCAACCAGAGACATTAAGGAAAATATTATATTTTTTATAAAAGCACCCAAACTCTAAAAACATCCAGGAACTCGCTTACAGGAATTATCCAACATCTATAGGAAGAAAAATTTTTTAACTCTATTAAAAATCATAAAGAAGGAACTGAATTGGGTGAAAAGGTATACCATGATCATGGACAGGAGAACTTCTCAATGTAAAAATGTCAATTCTTCCCAAATTAACGCATAAATTCAATGCAAAAAAACAATTTTTTAAAAATCGAGATTTTGTAAAAATTTTTTTTAATGTTTTTATTTACTTTTGAGAGACAGAACGAGTGGGAAAAGGGCAGAGAGAGAGGGAGACACAGAATCTGAAGCAGGCTCGAGGCTCTGAGCTGTCAGCACAGAGCCCGCCCGATGCAGGGCTCGAACTCACGAGCTGTGATACCATGACCTGAGCCAAAGTCAGATGCTCAACCAACTGAGCCACAGAAGCGCCCCTAAAAATTGAGATTTTTTAATGACATGGTCTCTTGGGTTCTCCCCATCCTGTTCTCTCAAGCCACCAGCTGGGCCTCCACCCTGGTCCCCACAGCATCCAAGGAATCTCCTTCTCCATATCCTTCTTAGGCTCCAAGAGCAACTGCACTCAGCAGGAAAGGCTGTGGACTTGGTGATCCAAAGGTATGGGATGGGGTCCTGGCTTTACCAACACTCCCAAGATTCCAAAGAATTCCAATTTTAAAGCTTTGTGCAAATTGCTTTACCACCACTCTGTTAGCTTGTGAAGACAATGGAGATAGTAATACTACCTCACAGAGTGACCATGATGAGGATTAAGTGAGATAAACTACACATGCAAAAGTACAGTACACGTTTACACCCATAAACACAACCATTCCTTTCTCTATTCCTTTAATTTCACCTGGATTGTATGAGTTCCGACTTAACTGAAGTTACTAAAACCCACATAACTCTTGGCGAGAGTTTATAGGGCCAGTACAAGAGGGGGTTCCACTCCCACTCCCCAAAATAACATGGGTCCATCCTTACCGAACTGTGCCAAGATCATCCATTCGGAGTGCCTTTTCATATTCCTTGGAGCTCTTGGAAAAAGTTTCAGGCTCTGCTGAGTGAGAATCGGATAATATTTATTAGTAAATGGACTTCTTGTCCCATTCTAGTTCATTAAGAAATGAGGGCCCTTGACCCATTTTGCAATGCCAGTCATCAGATAGAGGGCTTGGTGTGTGGTGAGCATTCCATAAAAAGATTAGTTAATAATGAATGAGTAAATGAGTGAATGTAATTGTAAATAATTAGTTATTTGGACAAATGGAGGCAAGACAAGGCCTCTAATTTCTTTTTAAAAAAATTTTTTTTTCAACGTTTATTTATTTTTGGGACAGAGAGAGACAGA